GATTTATGTTGTTCAGCTATCAGGCAGTAGTTTGTTCGTACACAGTTTCAGTAAAGAAGTAAAATATAAAAAATCTTCACGAAGTTCTTTACTCGGTGTTGTAAGGAAGTGGAATAACCCATAGTTCTTTAACGCTTAACAACATTTAGGACACCATTTAGAAGAGTCATTACTTTCAAAATCGCCTTGATATTTACATTTGTATTTGCGCCATCAGATTAGACATTTAATATTCTACACAGTTTTATAGCGATACATAGATACAGTGCCGCGCTCATCTCGCACAACATTCGCTTTTTAGATCTTATCAAAATGTTCAGCAGAAAATAATTCGACCCGTGAAGATCCGGGTTAGCAGGGCACCAGATAAGGGCCGTATTGGCGTATGTACGGATAAAGAATATGCACGATACGGTAGGAAATAATTTAGAAAACGTAGCAGATACGCACCACAGCAATGGTGTACGGTCTTAGAATCATTTACAGACGTATTTATCTGAAATAAAGTATTGTTTTATTGTTTATTGACCTGTTTACACAAGAGTAGCGATGTTGTGGTGCATATATGAAACGAAACACAAGATTACTGATAGTCCATTAGCTTCCATTCAGTACTCTAAATGTACAGTTAAGGTTTTCCAGTACTCAATATTGAACAAATAAGGAGTACGTACTCCAGATGTTGAAAAATTATCTGGAGCCCTGGGGTTAGAATTGGCCTTCAGAAATCCATGCTTGCAAGAGGCAACTAACGGGATCGGGTGGTCAGCCTCGCTGACTTGGTTGACACATGCCATCGCATCCCAAATGCGTAGATCGCTGCTCATGCTGTTGATCACGGGATTTTCTGGTCCAGATTATTTACAGACCGGATTGGATTGTCCTTTCCAGACTCGATTATTTACAGACCGCCGCCATATAGCTGAAATATTGCTGAGTGCGGCAGTACAGACCAGAAAATAATTCGGCATGCATACATATTTATATCATCTCTAAGAACTTGGACATTAACAATTTAAAACATGATCTGATTTGAACATATCGTGTTTGTATTTGTAATGTTTGTTGTTGAACTTCGCACTCAGTATGCCAGATTAATGCTGGCAATTTGGAAACAATCGAGTCTGGACAAGACAATCCAGTGATTGATATAATGAGCATCCATCCACGAAACTTGAATACCATGACATGCACCAGCAAGGCTTGACCACGCGATGACGCCAGTCGCCACATAATAGAATCGTGTCTTGCTGCATATCCATTCTATTTACAGTTTCGCAACATTTCTCATATCATTGAAACGAAATGAGTAGGTAGGTCCACATTTGTTACATAAAGCTCTGAAAATATTCCCAACGTCAGCTATATAGTCAGCACATGCTACACTATTTCCTCATTACAAAGGACAAACGTCATGGTGCTATGTGCGAATTACCCTTGGGATCATAGGCCCATACATCATCTTCTTTAGAAAAGAATAGAAGCATCAGCTGGCAGTGGTGTACGAGCCTCTGTTAAATACCGTCGAGATTACACAGCCTTTTCCGTAAATCAGCACGGCCCCAACGAATCTTCGCCTATTGTGTTTGAAAGAAAATCTTGTTTTCTTCACTTTCAAACCTTGCTTATATCCAGCCGGTGTTCCTTCCGACAGCAGAATAGACCTAATCCGGAACAGCGACGAGGAACAGAGCAGTACTCGGGAACATTCACGCAGCACGCCAACAGAATTCATTATCCGGAAGAAACGGATCCAGTTTTAGAAACTCGGTGATTAAGATTGAACATGGGCTAATTCGGTTATGTGAACTGTCTTTTTTTGCTTTTAAAACATGGTTCTTAATGTATCTTATGTACAAGTAAACATAATAGGGTAACAATGTATCTTGGTTGGTTTAACACGCTTGGATGTTGCGGCCGGAGACGTACTTGCATAATTCTGTGTATTTATATAAATACTTACACAAGCTGTGGAAAGTTGAAATGAGGGATTTGACGCTTGAAAGAATTTTGACATTGTGTATCAAAGGTGCATGCTGTAAACACTCACTGAGATAAAAAAAATATCATCTTAAAAAGGATAATTTCAAGAAAGAACTCCTGTCTTGTCCGTGGGCGAGACTTAGTGGTTTAGCGATGTCTCCACGAAGATAGTGTCATAATATCGCTAAAAATTAGTGAAATGGGTTTTACGCCGCTTATAGCAATATTCCAGCATTGTCGCTACGGGTACAGCAGAAATGGGTTTCAATAATCACCGACGTGAAGGCAGATATCAAGTTTTCGTGCTTGACTTGTGAGTTTTCTTTAGAAACAGGGACACATAGCTCTGTACAGAGTTTCTGGCCCCGTATATAGGATTGTGCATATTTGACATTCGTGATATCAATTAATTTGGAAATATTTAAGCATCGACACAAGGGCGAGTCGAGGGAAATAATTCCCCCAAAATCATTCCAAATGCTGCCTCACAGAAGTAAAAAGTCAGATATTCGTTAGACGTCACATTTCCCATGGCGATTAGGGATATATATTTTCAACACAGGCGTCAACAGGACTGTCACAGTCATGAGAAAATCAACTTCGTGGGAAAATCGAACATCAGAATAAAACAACGAAAGAAAAATTAGGTCAGTTTTTCGTCTATAATTTGCGCCCATTTTGTGATTAGATTCGACAGGAGAGTTTCTTTCTGACACAAAGGAAGGCCTTATAATCCATTATCATGGGATTAAGGGAAATGTTTGGTCGTGGGTGGGATTTAGGGGCATCTGCGGCCATGCGCAAAGATGATTCAACTAGGTACAACTATTAACGTATATAGTAGCATAATTGCATCACGGAACTTGTTTTGTGACACAGATTACTTGGGTTAATGAGAAGTCAACTTTCCTTTCCAACCCCACCGACTCGACCTGGCTCAATCACATGATCTTCACATCGTACAACATGGTGCCCGATTTTCTATGGACGGCGCCGTTTAAACTCCGGTTTCCAGATAAAGCCTTGTTTCAATCGAGACCAGTGATATAAATCCTAGCCATTTATCTTTTAAATTATCTTTTTAAATCATGAGAGTGTATACTGAATATATACTTGAGAGAAGGGTTTATTGTATAACTGACTATTAATGAAGTATTTATTTTCAAAACGATACTGATAAAGACCACATGTTTTGATGTCCAACAAACATGACATCATCATGCCAGCGTCAACACATCTCGACTGTGAACATCATCTCAGCTGAGGTGAGGTGATATTTGGTTTAACGTCGTGCTTGAGAATATTTCGCTCATATGACGACGAGAATGCGTGTGTATGTGTATGTGCGGCTGCTTGTACTAGCCCAGACTGAAGCTGGTTTTATAGTGCTAGCCCACTGAGATACCATGCCGCAGTGAAGCATGAATACCCCACTCAGACACATTATACTGACACCGAGCCGACCAGTCCTTGTACCCATTAAAGCCGAGCGCCAGACAGGGACCAACAAGTACCATATTTTAACGTCTTTTGGTATGACGCGGTCGGGGATCGAACCCGCGACCTTCCGCTCTCCGGGCGGACGCTCTAACCACTACACCACGGAGGCGGTATCTCAGCTGAGAGTGGCAAAGAGTGAGATCAGTTATCGATTCACAAGTCTCACGTGTGACCACGAACGACGCCAAATTATGGCAACATTTAACACATCTGTGTTTCATATTGTTTATGGTTAGCTAATATATAAACAAGATGGAGAAAGTAATACGAGGTGATTTCAGTATTCCGAGGATCATGATTTATGCTGTAGTTGGCGATAGTTCAGATGAATATGTTTTTATGTCATGTTTTTTCCAAAACGAGATTTCTTCCCAGACGAAAGTACAACCGGTATTTTATTTCGAGCTGAAATCTTTATTCAACTTTTACTTTCGCTAAAATAAAGTATATATAACTATAAAGTATACTGTCATGAATATGTAAGTGCGTGAATGATTTTACGCCACCTTCAGCAATATGCCAACAGTATTACGGCGGAGGACACTGGAAACGATCTTCACATCTTTGTACCCAAGTGGGGAGTCAAACCAAGGCTAATGCAGTGACCACTATGCTATCCCCATGGTCCCTTATAACTGAAACATTCAGAATCAATGTTTGTATCATGATGCTAATGTGTGTTGTAAACCTGCGATCTTCATGGTAGGATTTCTGGTAAAGAGTGGTGAGTTTAGTTGCCGCTTTTAGCAATATTCCAGAAATATCACGGCGAGGAATTCCAGAAATGGGCTTCACACATTGTACCCAAGAGGAGAATCGAACCCGGGCCTACGTTTAAACCACTAGGCTACCCCACCGCCCCTTCTGGTAGAGAAGGGTCTGAAAGAAGTTTTTGAGACACAAGCATTTCAAGAGAACAATAAAATTCAAAATAGTCCCAGCCTCACCGAATAAAGAATACTTCGGTCCCAAAACGATTAAATGTTTTATATCAATCACGTGATCATTATCCCACGTAAGATTACAAATGGTGGCGCGATATCTAATGAAGAAAAACAGACATTGCGTGAACCGACATTGTATTTGTAAAGAAACAACCTGTATAAATAATTACAAGAAACGAAACAAGTGCAGTGTATATATAAATGTCGTTGTTATGGTTAAACGTAAACAAACCGTAAACTATCGCCATGTTGATGGTCGAGTTGTCCTCTGTGACGTTGCCAAATGTGACAAAACAGATTATTGACGACGTTTTTTTAAATATTTCATGACCTTAGAATGAACCCGGACAAGCCTCCCGTTTGAGTTCAGTCTTAATATGCACGTGATAAATATACATTATACACGCCCTGAGATGGCGCGCACGCTCATGCAAATCATGCTTTTGTCGTACTGGACGTTCCTCGTGATTTTTCCTCGTGCAAAACATGCTTAATTCATGATTTGATTGGCGCATAGGCACTGCACACGTTCAGCACGTATTATCATTGCTGCACGTGCAAGTATCCTGGAAACGTCTTGGGGCACAACGGTACTGTGAAAACAATGGGCTGGTGTTTGACCCTATTTACGCCTACAGACCCCGAAATCTTCGGACAAAGTCGAAGTAGCGCTACATTTGCGTGTGTGGTGTACATTTCACCACCTGTCTTGTGAGTATCTGCCAATCTGTTTCCTTCTCAGTGAATCCTGCAATAACTACGCTTAAATAATTAACACAACAAGTGTTAACTTCCCACTAGTCCTGTTCATTAACAGATTCCCGTTGCCAAATAGCAGCTACGCACGCACACTAAAGTCAAGCCTTTTCAAAGACTTTGAGTACTGATGAATTTCTTAATAGAACATATTTGTTGAAACTATTTGTGCTTGTAAGTACACTTCGGTTTTAAGGAACTCAAAGCTACCACATGTTTTCGTTATAAAAGACCCGCGAACATCCGGGTTAGAATTGGTCTTAGGCAACTCATGTTTGTCGTAAGAGGCGACTTAAGGGGTCAAGTGGTCAGACTCGTCCACATGCTATCGCATCCAAATTGCGTAGATCGATGCTCATGCTGTTGATCACTGGATTGCCTGGTCCACACAACAAACAAACAAGAAACAACCAAACAAAGTTATCAACTAGTAGAATAAACAGATTTCACCCGTCAGTTCGTTTTAATTGAGTGAGTTTGGTTTAACGCCGCTGTTAGCAATATTCCAGCAATATCACGGCGGGTGACACCAGAATGGGCTTCACACATTGTACCCATGTGGGGAATCGAACCCGAGTCTTCGGTGTGACGAGCGAACGCTTTAACCACTAGGCTCGTTTTAACGTGTTCGTTATAAATGTAGTTAAGCTATATGCGTTCTCGAGAATGAGTGGGTATAGTTAACGCCGCTCTTAATAATATTTCAGCAATATCACGGCAGGTGACTCCAGAAATGGGCTTCACACATTGTACCCAAATGGGGAATCGAACACGTGTCTTCGGCGTGTCAAGCAAACACTTTAACTACCTCCCCCAGCTATCGAGAGGTGAGTTGGGTTGGATTTAAAGGCACAATGCCACGCTTTTTCGACAATACTTTGGTTTATAATATAAATATTGGAGCATATGCACTCACTTTAGCTTCCTATTGATACAATAAAAGACTTATTATCCCATACGACTTGCCTGAAATTGATAATTGAAACCTCGAGGCGAACAGCTTCCAAAGAGATAACACTGCCATATATGGAATGTAAACGATTGCTTCGTACATCGAAATCTGTCGCACGCGGTGTTGTCGGTGTTTGCCGAACTGGCCTCAATCACAAGTTGCTTTATAGGACATCGGTAAAGAGCGTTCCAAGGGACATGACTCTATGGGGTTCGCTTGAAATAATGTTCGGTCGGCAGAGGGCGCGAGAGTCGATATAATGCAACGTTGCATTAATTCATTCGAACTTTTTAATTTCATATTGTAATCTTAATACGTACTTTTTTCGGAATAATTTATATGGTAGCTTCGCTGGGGGTTGATAGTCTTTATGATTATTATTCAATGTATTCAATAACCAGACAGCGTTTGATGTTAACCATAATATACATCACTGGTTCCCCGATCCAGACCCAATTATTTACTGTAGCAAAGATATATACTCTCCCCAAAAAGAAACGCATATAGGAATTTCAACTGTATTTTTATGTTTATTTTGAAACATCTTGTAGGCTTTATGAGTTAATGAAATATAGCGAAATTGCACACTGGGAATGCAGACTTATCCGCCTTTGGCACCAACTCGAGGAAAGTCAGTTTGAGTGTCACATGGAGACGTGTGGTGGCGCTGAAGTCAATACCTCGTGTGACCACCGTGGGCATCCAGAACTGCACGGCATCGCCTCGGCATCGAACGAATAAGTCTCAGAATCTCGTGTTGCCCAATCGCAGCCCACTCTGCCTGTAGTGCCTGTGCGAGTTGCTGAAGTGTCTGGGGCTGAGGGTTACGGCGTCGCACCCGTCTGTCCAGGGCATCCCACAGATGTTCGATCGGGTTTAAGTCCGGTGATCTTGAGGGCCAGGGGAGCACATTGATGTTGTGGTTCTGGAGGAAGTCTCTAGTGTGACGTGGTGTGTGGGGCCTGGCATTGTCCTGTTGAAACAACTCCCTCTGGCGATCAATGATTGGAAGGAGGTGTGGGCGTAGGATTTCGTCACAGTACCGTTGAGCTGTCAGGTTGCCCTGGATCGTCACCAAATCACTTCTCCTACAGCAGGTGATCTCTCCCCACATCATAACACTGCCCCGGCCGGATCTGTCCACATTGGGGAACTCAAGCGTCGGCGAAACGTTCACGTCGACGTCTGTACACCCGCATTCTTCCATCGCGTCGTTCCAATAGAAATCGTGATTTATCACTGAACCAGATTCTACGCCAATTCGGTAGGTTCCAGGCCTGAACGTTGGTGCACCATTGAACTCGATGTCGACGATGCTGTTGTCGAATCACAGGGCCAAAATAAGGACTTCTGGCACGTAAACCAGCTTCTCTCAACCTGTTCCTGGCGGTCTGTGCAGAAAGCCTCCTCAATCCGGGTATTTGTCGAGCGGTACTGGTCGCCGTAGCTGTTCGATGAAGCAGGTGATGTACATGGATGTAGCGATCCTGCGCCGCAGTGGTCGCTCGAGGTTGCCCTACGAGGGGCATCTGCTTCCGCACTCTGCCGGCGATATCTCTCCCAGAGCCGTGAAATGGTGCTTTGGTGAACATTCATGCGTCGGGCAACTGCAAGTTGAGACTGGCCAGCTTCAAGCAAACCAATGGCGATATGACGGTTGGCTTCACTTAGACGTGGCATTTTGCGTTCGTCAACAATATTCCAAATACAGTGAATAATCGACAGACAGCGATCAACCCTTTATGCCCATCATTGAGACTATCTGATCTCCAACTTTCACGTGCATTGCATGTGAATTGTGTATTCTGTGACACTACACGCCGAAATTGAAAATCATGCTGTTAAATACGGGTATTTTACGGATGGTGCATTTTGTTGTGATGTTTCAAAACATAAACATCATAGAACTCATAAACAGAGCAAAACCTTTTGTAAAATGAATCACGTTTTAATTCATTGCTACATGAAATTGCTATTTTCATGATGCGTTTCTTTTTTGGGAGAGTATATATACAACGAACCCAGGCGAGTCGTCCTATAATGGCTATCTGGTGTCCTATCTCAGCAATTTTATCAAGACCAGTGAAGATCCGGGTTAGAATTGATCTTCAGGCATGTTATCGTATCCCACTTGGGTTAATCGATGCTCAGCATGTCAGTCACTGGGTTATCTAGACTCGAGTATTTACCATAATAGTGTAATAGTAATAGTCCACTTATAGGGCGCTCATATCCAGGCACATTGCCTGCTGACGGCGCTACGTACATTACTATCCCCGGTCATAGGACACTATCGTACTTTTCGATACCTTTTCAACTCTCCGGGGATCATACAGCCTGTAAGACGCAATGAACTAAACACTCACATTGCCAACACATCCTCACGGGTACCCATTTTACAGCAGGGTGAACTGAGACAATGTGGATCTAAGTATCTTGTGCAAGGATACTACACAAATGTGCCCACATCGGGACCCGAATCTATAGCTAGGTGCCGCCACCGGGGATCGAACCCGGGTCTTCAGCGTGATAGGCAGACGCCTTACCACTGCACCATAGTGCTGGAATATTTATTAGTACGGCGATAAACAACAAAACAAACGGGATTTCGCCGTAAAAGAACAAACACAAACACGGCCAGACGTACATACAGTTGGAGACCCGTGAAGGTCCGGGTTAGAATATTGATCTTCAGTAACCCATGCTTGTCGTAAGAGCTAACGGGATCGGGCGGTCAGGCTCGCTGACTTGGCTGACACATGTCATCGGTTCCCAATTGCACAGATCAATGTTCATGCTGTTGATCATTGGATTGTCTGTTCCAGACTCATTTATTTACAGACCGCCGCCATATAGCTGGAATATTGCTGAGTGTGGCGTAAAACTAAATTCACTCACTCACATACAGTTGGATCGCCCAGGACAGTGGCTGTGATTAAGGCTCTGTGTCCAGGCGCGGGTTTGGTGTGTTAAGTATTCATAGGTTCAGTGGCTGCTCTATCACTCTCTGCTGCTGAGTCGTGAAAATAGAAACACCGAGAATATCAGCATGTCCCACGGGTAGTCAGTGCAGAACCTTCGGCCTAAATCTATATTTGAGCCTTGTATCATTCAGTTAGCCACCTAATTTAAACCCTCTCCGACATGCTGGAAGTTTGCAATTTTAATGTAAACGATCACTGTAGGATCCCGGTGTTTATCATACATGAATAATTATATTGCTCCAGAAAAATTGAAACAAGAACAACATATTTTGTCTCTGCAAATATGTAAAGCACGTGCTTTACACAATGTCTCAAAGGCTATTGGGCGCATGTCGATCGCAACTGAAAGACGGCACGATTACAAATGAACTTTTCTTGACATGGCAAGAAGTAGACTATTTGAAAATACACTATGGCAAGTTATTTGCATGCATGAGGCAAGATTGACGTCTCTCAACATTGGTACCAACTTGAACATTAACCACAGTCATTAGTAGGTTCGTGCGTAAGCACGTGCCTTCCGGGGAAGTAAAGGAACGTGCAAGGCCTAGAAGACTAATGACCGGTTCGTAATTCGTCTTTCAAGACGAAGGCCCACGTCCCACCGCGAAGGTCTGTGCTGGCAATGGAGAGAGGGAGTCCGACTCTCCACCAGTACCATCGGAAGGAGGCTGTGGTCTGTTGGTCTGAAGGAAAGTCTTCCAATGAGACGTCCCTTCCTTACAGAAACTCACAATGAGGAGCGTATGGTGTGGGGCAAGCTCCGAGAAAACTGCAACTTGAGAACATGGTGTAGGTTTTATCAGTCGGATGAAGGGCATTGTCTTCTACACGTTACCGACGGCAGCTGTCGTGTATTGAGACGTCGTGACGAGGCAAATCACCAGGAAACCATCCATGCACCTCAACTCTTGGTGGTGCTAGTTGATGTTGTGGGGTTGCGTTTCATATCCCTGCAACTCATTACAGTATCTCATTAGTCAACGTTGTCTACAGAAAGTACTAGATGCCGCCGTCGTGCCACATTTTGATAACCATCCCCTTGCCAGTCGTGCGATACCTCACGATTCTCGAGCGTCATTGTCCATTTGCAAAGGCAATTGAGACATTACCATGGCCCGCAGGGAGACGCGATATGGATCCCATTGACAATCTTTTTCACTATCTTAGACGCCACGTTTGAGCGGATGCTGCTGCATTGGTATGCCTTATTAGGGAATCAGAACTTAGTCACAGAGCTGAAATTTCAAAATTTGTAGAATGGTGTAAATCAACCTTTATATTTTTGAATGTGCAAAAAACCAAAGAAATGATCATAGATTTTAGAAAAGCTTAGTCAACAATAAATGCTGTAAATATTGAAGATAATGAATCGAAAGAGTAACTGAATACAAATATTTCGAAACTCTCCTGGAACGAAAACACTGAGAAAATATATAAAAAAGGACAAGAACGCTTGCATTTTTTATGGAAGTTGAAACATTTTAAAATCGACCAAACCATCATGATGTTAATTTACAAAACCTTTATTCAAAGTGTCATAACCTTTAATTTCTTGAGTTGGTTCGGGAACCTGTCTGTCCAGAATAAATACAAACTCTAAAAAATCGTGAACACTGTGTCTAAAATTATTGGGCTTCCTATCGAAAGTATCAGCAGTTGTTACGAGCAGCAAATATTAAAAAAAGGCAAACAAAATTTTAAGTGATCCTACTCACATACTCTTTTCGGAATATTCATCATTACCTTCTGGACGAAGGCTGCGTATGCCGACTTTTAGAACAAACAGGGTTCGCCACTCATTAGTTCCAGCTAGTATTAGATGCATTAACAACAAATTCAGTGAATGACTTGTCTCTTAATTGTCCAAATTCTATTCAATATATATGTT